TACACACACACATACACACACACACACACACACACACAAAAGGCTAATATGCTAAGTGTCTGACTGTCCAACCAGTCGCCATAACGCGCACTGACATCCAGGGGGCAGACGCTCAACACAGGAGCTGCTGTGACTTGCACTGGCCATTTACAGAGAAACGGCACCACGGACCTAGTGCCGACAAAGCAACACTCGGCTTCTCCTAAGTGGGACACAGGTCCCGTCACCACCCTGGAGCAACACCCCACCAATTCACAGCCAACGCTGCCGAGACCCCATGGCACAAAATGCAGCCCACAGCCCAGCCCAGCCCAGCCCAGCCCAGAAATGGTGGCTGTGGGTAACGGGTAATGACATCACATAGCAACGCCCAGCTTCCTCTCCCTAGCAACTAGCCTCCTTGGAGTTTCTTCAGCCTAGGAACACAACTTGCTTTATAGCCAGGTGGAAACATTTTACACTTTAACCAAATGTCTGTGAAGCCTTTTCCCGTGCCTCATTTCATTTGATCCTCACAGAAGTCCTGGAGTAGGTAGATAGAAGACTTGGTGAAATCCTATTTTCATTAGCCAGAAAACGGAGATTTAGAAAGCTTAGAAATTTGACCCGGCTAAAAAGAAGAAATGGTGGACCTTGAAAATGACTTCAGGTTTTCTCACTGCACAGAATATAGTCAAACACTGCTGCAATTAAATATTTTACCCTTTGTTCTCCCTGTGTGATCTACAATAATAACCTGCCCTGTGTTTATATTTATTGCTGTGTTGCTGATAATTACCTGAAAGAGAAGTTGGGGTGCTTCATTGGGCTGGAAAAAGTTTAGCTAAATCAGAAAGCAGGTCTAATTAAGCAAGTTTATCTATATATATAAATCTCTCGCTGGTGCCAATCGCACACGTGTGTTTCGATCTGTCATTGTCGATCGTGAATTTGGTTGACACTTCTATTATAAAGAAAGGGCGAAGAGCAATATTAAAATATTTCTTCTAATTAATTTCCTTTCATTGTGCATGAATCCGTGCACCAGGCCACTAGTATGTTTTATAATTGGCTCTCTTTAGAATCCTATGTATTTTATACATTTAAAATACATTAAATCTTGTAAAATACCAATAAAACATTATTCTAAGAAATTGTTCATAGGCTTCCGGAGACTACCATAGGTGTCCATGACAAATAAAAGATTAAAAATCCCACCCTAGCCATTTTACTCAGTGTTTAGAGCATTGGCACTCTAACTGAAGGATCACAGGTTCAATTCTGGTCAAAACATGTACCTTCGTTGTAGGCTCGATCCCTGACCCCAGTCAGGGTGTGTGTGGGAGACAACCAATCGATATGTCTCTCTCACATCGATGGTTCTCTCTCTCTGTCTCTCCCTGTCCCTTTCATTTTCTCTTAAAATATCCTTGGATGAGGATTAACAGGAAAAAAAAAAAAGGTTAAAAATCCATGCTTTAAATTACCCTGCTCCTATCTTACAAAGCACCCCTTTTTCAGGGTCTCTAATAGCCTTCATACATGCATGAAGTGTCACCCTCTCCATGATTATATAGTTGACACCCAGAACAGAGAAATGCATAGCTTTTTTTAAGCAATAATCATAATTGTTTATGTTTACTAGATAGTAGAGTCCATATAAAATTAAATGTATCAAATAAACATTCCATCTAACCACCTATATAGAGAGACCTTAAGTCAAATACTACAATGTCAAATGAAATATACTTTCTGAAACTACAATGGGAAAAGCCTGAAAATATCAATCTACCTTATTCCCAAATAAAAAAAGTTTAATGAAAACATCTGAAAAATGATCTTAAGTTGCTAAAAACATGGAGAATATGAAGTTTACTTTTTGTTTTCTCAATCCTATACTGTGCACACATTGCAGTATCTTGTTTACTCATTTAAAATGTGAAAAACAGAGGATATCAAATGATGAGTGGATAAAAAAAATGTGGAACATTTACACAATGTAATACCACTCAGCCGTAAAAAGGAAGGAAATCTTACCTTTTGTGACAGCATGAATGGACCTGGGAAGTATTATGCTAATTGAAATAAGCCAGTCAAAGAAAGACAAATACCATATTATTTCACTTACATGTGGAATCTAATGAACAAAATAAACTAACAAACAAAATAGAAACAGACTCAGATACAGAGAACAGATTGACAGTTGTCAGAGGGGAGGGGGGTTGGGGGACTGAGTGAAAAAAGTTAAAAGATTAAACCAAAAAACGAACAACAAAAAAATCAACTCATAGACACAGACAACAGTAAGGTGATTACCAGAGGGAAAAGGAGACTTCAGGGGGATGTAGAAGAGGATAAAGGGGGGGGATAAATGGTAATGGAAGAAAATTTGACTTTGGATGGTGAACACACAATATATAGATGATGTATTATAGAATTGTACACTTGAAACTTACATAATTTTATTAACCAATATCATTCCAATCAATCCAATAAAAACTTTTAAAAAGTAAAAAAACAAACAAACAAAAAAGAGAATTTCGAATGAATCCTTGGGTTAAATGACAGAAAAGTATAAACCAAGTGATATACAGTAGTCATTTAGACAACAGAAACACCCAAACAGTTGGAAGTGAGAGGATCTAAACTACAAGAGCTACAAATTCAACTACAAATCCAATAACAACCAAAAATTTAAAAAGTTTAAAAATCAAAAAATTCTACAGTCTGAAGATGATCTGGTGAAAGTAGAAATTATCTCCTTCCTATCAATAAGAAGTACTAGTTTAAAAATATTTTCAGTAGAAATATAGCTTATTTTATAACAAAAATCAAGGGACAAACAGAATTTGCTTTTCTATATTCCTATCATTTGAAGACGAAATGTAGCCACACAATTATAGTCGTTCAATTTCAACTTAACAGTATTTCATTTTTATACATATAATTACCATAATTTTAAAAAACTTTAACAAAAATGTAATACATTCAATCGATACCAATTTTTTATGTCGCTACCAACATCTTGAAAATTTTACTATAAGCACTCAAATTACAACACTTTAGATCATATTTTCTGATTACAAAATCATTATGTACTCATCACAGGAAACTTGTAAAATACAAAAGAAAGAAAACAGAATTCCCCATAATCTTATCAATTATAAATAAGCATTGTAATAATTTTATTTCTTTTATGGGAAGTATCTTATATATTAATAATAATGCTACTAATCAATATTAGACCCTTACTTTGAGCTACTTAGCTAAGAGCTTTAAAAATACTATTTTATTTTATCCTTACAACAACCCTGTTTCAGGTGAATATTTCCATTTTACAGATATGTCAACAAGAATTTAAAGAGGTTAGGAAACATGCCTAAGGTCACAAAGATAAGTGGTACAGCTGAATCCAGCATTTTAAATTATTATCCTATGCCACCATCAATATATACATACATAGAATGCTGTATTCTACCTACTCTAAAGTAATTTTAGATGGCTATTTAATATTAACAGCATGTGAGCATACCATAATTTAATTAATCACTCCTCTACTAGATCAGATTATTTTTGTATAGTATTCAGGATAGGATGACTCATTCAATACAAAAAAATAAAAACAGATAAATGCAAGACTTGCTTGTCTACTTCTAAATTTATATTAAAATATATAATTCAACTTACTCTTTTACTGAGACAAATAACTGGCCACATACTGCAACCTAATGTGCAGCAGCAACAAAGGCAGCCACAAAGTAGCCAACGTACATTAACAGGAAGGTTCTTCTTAAGACAACTGTTAACTCTGTTGATGCTGGCTTTAAATTCTTCAGGAGCTACCTAAAAAAAATTAAGAAATAACAACACTGCAATATTAATGTCAATAAACATGCATCATTAGTATAAATCTTTTTCCTAATTTGTTAGGAAAAGACTTCAATTTTGAGGTGTATAAATAGTATCTAAATAATTAACAGACACTCACTTTTCCAGTTAATGAAGAAGGAAATTCTGATTCAAATTTGTTGCTCAGTCCAAATCTATTTTAAAAAGGAGAAAAATGTTATTGCATGTCATTGCTGCACAAAATAGACCATTTAACTTAATCAAGGGTCAAGTAAATAGCAGCTTCATATACAGAATTACCACGGCAGATTGAGACACAAAAACATTCTAATCAGCAATATATGAAATGTAACAAGCAATTTAAGCAGCTGAATCAAAACTTTTGTATAATAAGAGGCTGAGAATAACTTGTTTGGGGTTATCTTTGCGAAACAAATATTATATAATGAAAAACAACACAATGTTTAAATGTTCAAATTTGTCAAAATTATGAAGGTTCTTCCAACTAAGAAACAAAGCTAAAATCTCTATTAAGTACTCTTTAGGTCAAGAGTATTTGTTAACACTCAATATTAGCAGTAACATGTCTAAAAATGCAAACTGATTAGTTAACACTTTCTGAGATCTATACTATTACAGCCAGAGAATGCAAAAACACCTGAAACAATGTGGTAGCTGGCCTGGCTATTTAAACTTTCAAATTTTAAGACATTTGCTATCTATACTCCCAAAGAAATGAAACCCAAGTAGTGCATTTTAATATCCTTAAGTGTTTAAATGTCTGAATAGATCATGAGAATTGACTGGGCACATGACTACTTCTTCACATAAGTTATTAGGTAAGAATAAAATAAATACTAAGACACATTGGCAATAGCAGATCACCCTGGAGATAAATATTGAGATTCTTCAATATGATGACTTTTGTTGGACCCTAGAGCCAAAATTCTTTTAGTTTCATTGAGAGATAATTGACACATAATATATTAATTTAAGGTGTACAACACAATGGTTTGATACATGTGCATATTATTAAATGACTGCCAAATGAATTTAGTTAATATCACCTCACATAGTTACAAAAAATATTTTCCTATGATGAGAACCTTTAAAATTCACTGTCTTAACAATCCTTAAATAGACAATACTGTACATTGGGTAGCTGGCACTGGTAAAAAGGGATCCCCTGAGATTCTGTATTAAACAGCTGGCTAGATTAGGAATTTCTTATTCAACCATCTAGTAGAGCTGGACAGGGAAATCAAATGAATAAGGCAGGTTATGTGAAGGCAATAAGGAATGATGGGGCCTAGCTGCCGGGAGGGGAGGGGAAAGGAGAGGAAGGGAAGGGAAGAGAGACCAGATCCAGCTGATTACTGTCAATCTAGAAGGCAGACCCACTTTTGACAGACTGTATGATTTTCTTTTTCCAAGAGGATTTGGAAAACCAGATTCCTATGCACTTTCCCATCTCTAAAACACTGTGCAAGTCAAATAAAAAACTTCTGTGGATCAGGTTGTGGTTTACATCATGTCTAGACTTCCCTACCTGTGAACAGTGGGTTCTGAGACCATTTCTTTATCATCTTAAGTACTTTCATATACTATTTAATAGCAGCATTGAAATACTGCTATTAAATACTGCTATTAATACATTAATCTATCTTTAAAAATAATGGATACTATTTACAAAAAAGATTACAATACAATTACCTAGGTCCAAGCCCAAGTTCTTTTCACACTAAACATAAACTGGCAACCATTACTGTTTAATGTAATTCTGGCACTAATGCCATTCTCTTTCTAAGATTGGACGACTGAGCTAAACCTATTTTCTGTCTATGTAGGGGCCTCAGAGCAATGTGGTTCTACTGGAAAAAGCCTCCAGATAACCCTCTTCCAATCTTAAAGATCCCCCCAAGAGGAAGAGGTGTGAAGAGCTTGCTGATAGTTCTCAGTGAGGTCTCTACGATAATGTAATTCCTTTTCATCTATTTCCTTTAAGGAAACATTCAACAAATGTTTGCATATTCAACCTTCTTAATATAAACTTCCTTCTCTTACATGATCTCCCTCGGTCTGGAGGTTTTCTCCTTCAATCAATAGTTTCCATTTCAACCAGGTTTATTATTGCAATTAATTAACCATCTCCTTCCAACTGGTCTTTGACATTTTCTAGAAAAGCAATAACCAGATACCTCCAAGTCTCCCAAAGAAAAAGGTCCTCCTTACAGTCCCAGTGATTAAATATTTAAAGCAGAGAATACCTATAATTTGCTAGTTTATATGCTAAGTTGAAGACAGCAGTCCAGTATGAGTTTCAACCCTAATTTCCTTTCTTTCCAGTGCCTGGATACTTCCTCATTGGGTGAGTGGCTGAATGTTGATGCTTTGCCCAGGGAGCACTATGAGCTAACTGCCCTGCTGTTCCTGCAAGCAGAACTTTAAGCCAGGCTAGTAGTTAGCTATTTTTCCAAGTTAAGAACTGGTAATTTCAAGAATATTCTTTTGGCACTCAGTTCCTTTTCTCACACATTTTGTTAAGTTGTATCTTAAGAACAGATAGTAATTCTTCCTCTTCCTTCATCTCACCCCCAAAGTAATGTCCCAGGAAAGATGAAAAGTAACATGATTCACACTAGAAGGGAGTGTTCAGCTTTTCCAGCAACCATTAATTCAGTTTGGTGCTAATAATTTTCCATTCTCCCTTGCTTGTGTTTCTACCAGCTAAACAAGAATACCTGAAAGAAGGGTCAAGAAAATGCTGCTGTTAGGATACAAAATCAACGCCAAGAAATCTATGGCATTTCTATACACCAATAGTGAACTTACAGAAAGAGAGACTAAAAAAGCAATCCCATTTACCATAACTCTCCAAAAATTCATCTGGAATAAAAAAAGACCCCGAATAGCTGCAGCGATCCTGAGAAAGAACAAAGTAGGTGGGATCTCAATGCCAGATATCAAGCTGTATTACAAAGCCACTGTTCTCAAAACTGCCTGGTACTGGCACAAGAACAGACATATAGATCAGTGGAATAGAATAGAGAGTCCAGAAATTAGCCCGAACCAATATGCTCAATTAATATTTGACAAAGGAGGCAAGAACATACAATGGAGCCAAGATAGTCTCTTCAATAAATGGTGTTGGGAAAATTGGACAGATATATGCAAGAAAATGAAACTAGACCACCAACTTACACCATACACAAGAATAAACTCAAAATGGATAAAGGACTTAAATGTACGACAGGAAACCATAAAAATTCTAGAAGAATCCAAAGGCAACAAAATCTCAGACATATGCCGAAGCAATTTCTTCACTGAAAGAGCTCCTAGGGCAGTTGAAACTAAAGAGAAAATGAACAAATGGGACTACATCAAAATAAAAAGTTTCTGCACAGCAAAAGAAACCATCAACAAAACAACAAGAAAGCCCACTACATGGGAGAACATATTTGCCAACATTATATCTGATAAGGGCCTAATCTCCAAAATTTATAGGGAACTCATACAACTTAACAAAAGGAAGATAAACAATCCAATCAAAAAATGGGCAAAGGATCTAAATAGACACTTTTCAAAAGAGGACATTCAGAAAGCCAAGAGACACATGAAAACATGCTCAAAGTCACTAATCATCCGAGAAATGCAAATCAAAACAACAATGAGGTATCATCTCATACTTGTCAGAATGGCTACATCAACAAATCAACAAACGACAAGTGCTAAAGAGGATGCGGAGAAAACGGAACACTCGTGCACTGCTGGTGGGAATGCAGACTGGTGCAGCCACTATGGAAGACAGTATGGAGTTTCCTCAAAAAGTTAAAAATGGAACTCCCATTTGACCCAGTGATCCCACTTACTTCTAGGAATATATCCCAAGAAACCAGAAACACCAATCAGAAAGGATATATGCACCCCTATGTTCATAGCAGCACAATTCACCATAGCTAAGATCTGGAAACAGCCTAAGTGCCCATCAGTAGATGAATGGATTAGAAAACTGTGGTACATCTACACGATGGAATACTATGCTGCTGTAAAAAAGAAGGAACTCTTACAATTTGCAACGGCATGGATGGAGCTGGAGAGCATTATGCTAAGTGAAACAAGCCAGTCAATGAAGGAAAAATACCACATGATCTCACTCATTCATGGATAATAAAGACCATTACAAACTTTTGAACAATAATAGATACAGAGGCAGAGCTGCCTCAAACTGATTGTCAAACTGCAGTGGGAAGGCCAGAGAGGGTTGGGGGGCAGAAGGGAGGGGAGTAAGAGATCAACCGAAGGACTTGTATGCATGCATATAAGCATAACCAATGGACATAAGACACTG